TAAGGATTAACGAACTTGTGATTACAACATTTTTACGGACTTGCGTAGTCGTGAGCGAATTTTACGACAACGATCAGTGCCTTCTTGGTGGCTGTAAGAGCAAAACGTTTCAAAGGTAAGATTTAAATTTTGGTTTAATAAGTATCTTGTAAAAAACCTTTAATCGACAAATAACAAAAAAAAACTGTGTTTTTTGTATAGACTCTAGGTATTTTAAAAGTCAAATAAGTTTATTGGCTTTACAAGAAAATTTAAATAAAATAAAATTCAAAAACACGTTGAATGTACGAGCAAAACTTAGTTACCAGTCTATAAATAAGAAAAAAAAGTTATTTTTCTTCATCAGCCAGTAAAAGTCCACTGTCGAACATGAGTCCCCAAGTTATAGGATCGCAATACATTCAAAATTTACACCAATAAACACTTATACAGGTGACGCAGAAACATCATTTAAAATGAATGTATTCTAGAGTTACAATTGCTAGTCCATCTTCTATTTGTGAAGATTATGGCAAACCATACTCACTAAGAGTCTCTGACATGAAGACTATGGCCACCAGTGGTATGTGGTACGGATCAGTGTTCAGCGTGATAGCGCAGTGGCTATAAATTAAGCTGCGGCGCTCCAGCTCACTAGTTCGATTCCCGCAGGAAACAAATATTGACATAATATGAGACTCCTCTTTCTGCGAGGATATCGGAGCAATAAGTGAAGGACTTATTGCTGCACAAGTGGGTTTTGGTGGACTTTACATGCCTTCGAAATATTTTTATTCCTAACATGCAGGACATGCAGGTTTCCGCTAGATGTTTTCCCTCACTGCTAAGCACATGGTAAATCAGAAATTCAACAATTTAATTGGTGCCGACTGGCATCGAACCCGGGTTGCTCGCGTGTAATTTACTGCAAACGTTTATCCCCTAGGAAGTAACAAATCTTTATTTTTTTTTTATTAAGCATTAATTGCTAATACTAAACAATATAAATTATTTTAATATAGTAGATGATTGTTTTAACAGTTTTAATAATAGCCTAGAATATCGTATTTCCTAGTTTAGTAGTCAGCGTGTCACACATAGGTCTCTTCCAGCTTTTTCCATTCTTCTCTGTTGTTAGCTTTTCTTGACCAGATTGTCCCTCCAATAATCTTGATATCATCTGTCCATCTTTTTGCATGATATCAATCTTTATTTATTTAGAGATAAATAATATTAGAGGACCTGTTATAAAGAAATAACTGCCTTTTATTGAGCTCGGAGGGTTATTTGTATGTTACTAAGATATGAATAACCATTTTTAAATATTTTGTCTGTCTGTCCGAGCTCCGAGCTAATTTTCGGAATAGCAGAACCAATTATAATGAAACTGCACGAGCAGATAGTGCTCTCTCTCAGTCTCTATCTCTATGTAATGTCAGAAATGATCTAGGTTCTAGGCTATATATATTTTATGTAAAACAATTGGGGATTGTCTCACATCTACATGTAGCCACAATGTATTTAACTGAAACGAAGCTGAAGAGGCTTAATAACGTATCTTAATTTACCAACATCTTCGCAACCTACATTTTTTTTATAGAAGAGGTGGCAAACGAGCATGCGGCTTACCTGATGGTAAGAGCATCCGCCGCCTATGAACAACTGCAACACAAAGGGAATTGCTGCTTCTTGAAGCTTGCTTTTAACGGTGGTAGCGCCACGCAGCAGCTTTTGCTGTTGCACGTACTCACAGAATACCGGCGTGAAGTGGAAGCTCAGCTTCCGCGTTTCGTCTGGTGAGTGCAGGTGACCGGAGGCCAAATCCCCCCCCCCCCATCAACATTGTAGCGGAATTACACGAAAGACTACCCCAGGAGGCTACCAGCACCCCTGGAGAATCCCTCGCTGAGCATCCACGACCATTTTATTCCACTCCTGAGCGTGGGTGCTCAGGCTGCCCGGCGTATTCGGGGGGGGGGGGGCAAAATTCCGCTCAACACAATAACTGCTCGGGGCAAACTGAGCAACAGCACCAAGGCGACCCCTGCCACGCTATCCGTGAATTTCTGCAACATCAGGGGACTTCACTCGAACCTAAACGCCATCCACTACCATCTCGAGACGGCGAAGCCGGCCTTGCTCTTTCTGACCGAGACGCAGGTGTTCTCTCCGGTTGATACTTCGTATCTCTCCTACCCGGGGTACAAATTGGAGCACTCCTTTGTGCCTCGGGCTGGAGTTTGCGTATACGTCAGAGAGGACATTTGTTCTCGACGCCTCGGCAGTCTTGAAGGCTCGGACCTGTCCATTCTTTGGCTACGCGTAGACAACGACGACCATCCGCGCGTCTACGGGTGCCTCTATAGGTCCCATAGCGGTAATGCCGAAACAGCCCGACTCATCGACCACGTCCAAATGGCTACAGATTCCTTGCTACAACAGGTCCCATCCGCAGAGATCGTGATCGTGAACCACGCCGCATGGCTCGGTTCACGTTTAACCGATCATGCGGGGCGATCTGTTTATGACTTGTTAATGCCTTGGCATATGGTCTGACACAACTGGTTACTTCGCCTACGCGGATTCCAGATGTTGAGGATCATACACCTTCCCTGTTGGACCTTCTGCTGACCTCTCATCCAGACGGATATCAGGTTTCCGTCGATGCCCCTCTTGGCTCTTCGGACCATTGTTTGATCAAGAGTGTGGTGCCATTCACGCTCCCTTCGCGGTTGCGTTCTGCAGGTTGCCGCCGTGTTTGGCATTACAGGTCAACGGATTGGGACGAAATGCGGTCTTTCTTTGCATCCTACCCTTGGGGGCAGGTTTGCTTCTCGCCGGGTGATCCCAGCGCTGTTGCTGACTCTGTCACTGATGTGGTGCTACAGGGAATGGAACTATTTATTCCATCATCTGTGGTACCCATCGGAGGCAGATCTCAGCCTTGGTTTGGTCGCTCCTGTAAGACTGCATTACGCAGTAAGCAGGAGTGTTATCAAGCCTGGGCTGCGGCTTCGGCAACTCGGGATGTAAACACCAGCATACTTAAAAAGAAGTATAGCTTCGCCTCCAGGTCCTTCAAAAGAGTTATTGTCAAGGCAAAGTCAGAGCACATAGGCAGAATTGGCGAGAAACTAGTTCGCCTTCCTTCGGGAACACGTGCATTCTGGTCTCTCGCCAAGGCTGTCCAAGGGAATTTCTGTAAGCCATCGTTACCATCTCTGCACAGGGAGGGCGACTCACTGACCCACGACGCAAAAGAGAAAGCCGACCTTTTAGGCTCCCTTTTTGCGTCCAACTCGACTGTTGATGATGGGGGGAACACACCGCCGACCATCCCGTGGTGTGAGTGCTCCATGCCAGATGTGCAGTTCTCACAGCGTCAGTTTGCAGAGCACTCCTCTCCCTGGACATCCACAAGTCGAGTGGGCCTGACGGAATCCCCCCAATTGTGCTGAGGACGTGTGCTCCGGAGTTGGCACCGGTCCTAACGCGTCTTTTCCGGTACTCCTACTCCCTAGGCGTAGTCCCGAAATCATGGAAGACAGCTTTTGTCCACCCGATCCCTAAAAAAGGCGACCGCTCAGTAGAGTGCAAGGGCCTCCCCCTTGGACTCTACTGAGCGGTCGCCTTTTTTGGGGATCGGGGTCGTTGGCCGTTATTATGGACATAGCGAAGGCTTTCGATCGGATTTGGCACAAAGCGCTTCTTTCGAAGCTCCCTTCCTATGGGCTTCCCGAGAAATTATGCAATTGGATCACCAGCTTTCTTGCAGATCGAAGCATCAAGGTGGTTGTAGACGGTGCATGCTCCGACTACAAGCCTATTAACGCTGGTGTTCCACAAGGCTGCGTGCTATCACCAACGCTGTTTCTCCTGCATATCAATGATATGTTACAAACCGGTAGCATTCATTGCTATGCGGATGACAGCACTGGTGATGCTCTATACACCAGCCGTGTCCATATTTCTCGGGAAAACGTCACCGAGTACCGGAACAAACTTGTGTCTGAAGTCGAGTCTTTGCTTGACAAAGTCTCGGATTGGGGGCGACTAAATCTAGTCCAGTTTAATCCTCAGAAGACACACGTTTGCGCGTTTACCGCAAAAAAGAACCCCTTTGTCGTATCTCCTCATTTTCAAGGTACTCCCCTTGTTGCCTCAGCCAGTATCGGAATCCCCGGCGTCGACATATCGAGTGACGTGCAGTTTCGTGGTTACTTGGAAGAGAACGCCAAATTGGCCTCTAAAAAGCTTGGCGTGCTCAGCAGAGCGGGACAGTATTTCATGCCGGCACATCGCTTGCAACTTTACAAAGCGCAAATGCGGCCTCACATGGAATACTGTTCTCATCTCTGAGCCCAGGCCACCCCAGTGCCAGCTGGAAGGCCTTTTGACCGCATCCAGCGCAGAGCGGCTCGAATCGTCGACGACCGAGTCCTTTCCGATCGGCTCGACTCATTGGCGCTGCGAAGTTGTGGTGTTGTGTAGGAGTGCTGGTGTTGCATATCTTTGCATTTTCTTTCGCATTTACCACGGGGAGTGCTCTGAGGAATTGTTCGGATCAATCCCAGTCGCCAAATTTCACGAACGAACATCGCGGCAGAACTCCCGATACCATCCACACCATCTGGATGATTGGCGGTCCACCACTGTGCGATTTAGAAGATGTTTTCTTCCTCGCACTACTTCCTTGTGGAATAGTTTACCATCAGCGATTTTTGCGGACCGATACGACTTAGGGACCTTCAAGAAAAGAGCCTACTCCTTTTTAAAAGGCCGGCAACGCATCTGCAATTCCCCTGGTGTTGCGGTTGTTCATGAGCGGCGGTAGTCACTTACCATCAGGTGAGACGCATGCTCGTTTGCCCCCTCTCCTATATAAAAAAGCGTCCTAAGTCGTATCGGTGCAGAAATATCGCCGTTGCTAACATCATACATTCATACATTTAATACACCTAGTATGAAATGTACGACGATTTGGTGCAAAAATATAATTTATTGTGTTTTTATAGAGCAAAATGTCCGTTGTAAACGCATTTGAGACGAGCAAAATTGTTCCTGATGTTATCCCGTCAGCGCCAACCGCTTTAATTGGGGTAAGTCATAAATATTTAAAAATAAATAAAATTCCAAATGACCTTGTAGTGGCGGTCTAAGAATATCCACTATCCCATATCATCCCGTGGGTGTCGTAGAGGAGCAGCAGCATCTTCCTGATAACAGCTGTATAAAAATAAAAACTGCGGTTGCAAATCCGCTTGCCAAGCGTGGCCACTATGGCAAATATCCCCCCTATGAGGCAACCTATGGGGGAGGCCTATATTAATCAGTGGACTTTCGATAGGCTGTAATGGTGTTTTTATGGGATAAGGGTGACAAACGAGTACACAGTCCACCTGATGGTTAGTGTTTACTGTAGCCCATATACCTCTACATCTACTATACATCAATTACGAATCAAAATGCAGATGCGTTGTAACCCGTGACGTAGTCCTCACGGGTCACATGGGATGAAGAAAGTACTATATATCTCAATACAACAGAATCATAATTTTCAGCACTAATAAAAACATTCATTACATAATAACGTGCGTGAGCGTGACCTTTGTAGTTCGTTTATCAATGTAACTTCAATTCATATGTAATCAATCATTTGGTTATATCTAATGTGTTGATTTTGTGGTACATTTAAAAATAATATTGGTGATTGTCTTAAATTTATTGGATTTAGATTTTTTTTTTATTACAAAGCATTAAAAAGAATTTTTTGTGACACACTTGCTGCTTTTTTTTAGATTAGATTGTTATCCTTTAGATATCTCGTGTGCCTTTAAGATGTCAGCCGATACCCACGAGTATAGTTACAGAGTTTTATTTAGTTTAGATATTGACTATATTGTATTTTTTGAAAAAAACTAAGGCTGTGTTTTTTATTATGTTTTCATGTCATCTTCAAATGCATCTTTGTAAAAAGGCTTTTTGTAATAAATATGTTTTTTTTTAAATTTTTCAAGTAAAAAGTTAAAAATTTATGCATAAACACTTAAATATTTTTAAAATAAGTAGTTTAACAAAATATAGACAACTTAAAGAAGCAGCATATCTTTATAAATTAGCAATGTGCGAGACTTACGCTGTAGATACTCAGTTCATTAATTCCATACTCTTAATTCTAAAACTAGTTTGTACTATAACTCATCCATCCTTAATATTTGCTGACGAGTGTAATAGGTTGGGCTACTTGTGTATCGAACAAAAAAAAAATAGAAAGAAACAAACCAGGATATCGGCAGCAGCGTCTCCTTAATTACACCAGAAAATAAAATACTGCGATTGGGGAAGACCCCTCCTGGAAAGCGTGGCGTTATATTCACACGAAATTGACGGACGGAAAATTTACGGATTTTATACCTTTTAATTTAAGTTATTTTTATTTGCCACTACGGACATTACTAAAAGTAGAAAAATTATAATGAAATTTTTATTAAAAAGTTTTATTAAAGAGTAAAAACCACTGCCGAACTGAACGCAACTTTTATTGATGATGACACTATGTGTGTCAATTAAGTCTGAAAAACAGAAATAATGGAAATAACTTCACTTCAGTTCTAACTAGCGACATCTGGGGAGCGGAAGATTATGTTTCGTGGCAGCCCCATTGCCATGACCGCTATAAAGCAATCGAAAATAAAAAAATAATTAAAATTAAAGTGCTATTAAAACGTATAATAAGCTTCACTCAATAAATTTTTTGTTAATAATTTAGATGGCTTCTTTTATGTGTATTTTTTTATAGACAAGCCAACACACAGTCCTCCTGATGGTAAATAGACGTGGCAAATAGATATCTATATGTATCTTCGATTAAGTATCAAAATACAGATGTGTTGCCACGTGAAGACTATGATGAAATGCCTCATTTCCAATAGACAAGGCTTCCGGTTCTCGATACTCACCATCACAGAACATATGTATCCTTACCGGGCTCACCATACGAAACATTAGCATTAAGTCCGTATAGATAACTCGATACACTGGCACTGCGTAGGGATGTTACATCCCTTTGCATTTTCTATTGAATTTACCTCGGGGAGTGCTCTGAGGAATTGTTCGGATTAATTCCAGCCGCCAAATATCACGAACGCACATTGCGTCAAAATTCACGATACCATCCTCACCATCTGGATGCTTGGCAATCCACGACTGTGCGTTTTACTAGATGTTTTCTTCCTCGTACAACTTCTCTATGGAATTGTTTACCACCGGCGATTTTTCCGGACCGATACGACTTAGGGACCTTCAAGAAAAGAGCTTACACCTTTCTAATAGGCCGGCAACGCATCGGCAATACCTCTGGTGTTGCGGTTGTTCATGGGCGGCGGTAGTCACTTATCATCAGGTGAGCCGCATGCTCGTTTGCCCCCACTTCTATAAAAAAATAACACATTATTTCTGCTACCAAGTAGTAATGCACTCACCGTTACCATAAGTTTGTTTAAAAGAATTATAACCATTTTTCCCTACGCATTTTGCAGTTGAAATACCCAAGCGGTGCCGAAGCTAAGCTCGGCAATGAGTTAACTCCAACCCAAGTAAAAGACCAGCCTACCGTCACCTTCGACGCTGATCCTAAAGCTTACTACACTCTTATTTTTACTGGTAAGTAATGTTTGTACGTAAGATCATACCGAGTTTGAAAATAATATCTTATTTTGCCCTTTAAACCGACTTCAAAAAGGAGTTTACAAATTTAAGAAAAGGGTTTACAATTCGTCGGAATCTTTATTTATGTATGTTCACCGATTACTCGAAGACGCCTGAACCGATTTAGAAAATCCTTTTTTTTTTCAAAGGTTGTAAAGCTTTCCAGGTCCCATTTAAATTTTATCGAAATCAATCGAGCGGTTTAAAAAAAATCAACAATAAATTATATTTATATTGAAGTCGGTTGTAAATAAATTTAAATTTTAAATTATTGTCTTTAACTGCCTTCTAACGCCCACTGCTGGAGTTATGGGACTGTCCCCTTTAAGGGAAGATTTGCTAAGTATAAACGAGAGCAATACTAGACATGAGTCTAGATATTTTACTAATGACATAAACGAGATAGTTATACCGCCATCCTTAGGAAAACGTAAAATGTTCCTGGCGTTTCCTATAGCCGCTTCTTACGACATCCCTGGGAGGAATTGGTTGGTGAATTCTCTTACGCGTTACAAAAGATACACTATTATATCCTACAGCTGGGCAGAGCCCTTCTTTTATTTCTGAGAGGATTTTGAATCACTAAGTTCACCGCATTGCTGCACTGCGTGTTGATGGACTTGTTCTTGTAACAGAAATACCTCAGGCATGAGGTTAATTAATATCAATCCGCAATTGGAAATCAAAATGTGAACGCGTTATCACCCCTGAAGATTAAGCTGGAATGCCTTGTTTCCAATAAAAAGGATCTCCGGTTCTCTACACTCATTATACGAAACATAGCAGCATTAGGCAGCTGTTTTACGCTGGTTTCTGCGAGAGCGTGATCATTCAATGATATCGACCCATTCGTGCTGCAATTATAATATGGTTGCAGCATGGCTCTGTCCCACTTATTAAATTCCTCACGATGTTTGCATTCTATTCCATCGATTAAGGGCTACTTCAAAAATCGATCGCTGAACATCGGCCATCCTGGAGAAATGTCACTAAACACGGTCCTGAGCCACTTGAGTATAAATAGTTCTGTTTAAATATACCCCCATGAAGAATGATGTTTTCATTATTTATCTATAATTTCAGATCCCGACAACTACGATGGCCCGGAACAAGTGTACCGGGAGTGGCACCACTGGCTAGTTGTAAACATTCCCGGAAACGACGTTACGGCTGGCGAAGTTCTGTCCGGCTACATCGGCTCCGGACCACCGGAAGGCACTGGCATCCACCGTTACGTTTACATTCTGTACAAGCAGCCCGGAAAACTCACCTTTGATGAGACGAAACTGACCAACAAGTGAGTTTACTTTTTTTTTGTAATATGATACTGACATACGAACTCTTTTGGCGTTGTTTTATCCTCGGTCTAGATATTTTACACCTGACACAAGGGAGATGTATTATAATGCCATCTATCGAAGGTCATAAGATTTTTGGTATAATATCTAAGCGTTTGCTAAGTTTTATATGTATACTATAAGTGTACCTATATGTATACTAGGGCTCAAATTCAAGACAATGACACATGAATATGAGATGTTACTTTGAGACTATCCCGTCGGCCTCTCGATGCTATTTTAATTTATTTATGGTTAACGATTATATCAATATAATGTACGCGGTTACCTAAACATACTGTTACTGTTACTGCAAGATTAGTGTTATGTTTTATTTTTATTTGGTTTATGAGCGTAGAGAGGTCGATGGGATAGTCCCAAAGTAGCTTCGCACTGAGTGCTGCTGATGCGTTGAAGGCCTTGGGTTCGAATCTCTTGAGAACGAATATTTCTATGGCTTACAAAAATAGTTTCAGTTCTGCATATTTGCCCTTATGGAATATATGTATGTATGTATGTAAACTGCCACGATATAGAAGTGTGAGGCTCTCGGTTTTTCAATAAAAAAAAATACGTACCCAAACAAAATCACTTGATAATTGATTTTAAACAGAACATATTTTTTTTTATTGTACATAAATGAAATTAAAAATTGTTTAAAAAATAATATTTGTTTACTTTTCGTGAAAGGGTCTAAATTCGATGTCATGAAATAAGCAGTTACCAAGTATTACCATCTGCTCATCGTCTTAAGTAGGCTTCATCATCACCTTATTTTCGTGAAACTAACATGTTAATTTGTTAAAAGGTCAATCGAAGGTCGCGCCGCGTTCTCAACAAAGAAGTTTGCGGAGAAGTACAATCTCGGCGCGCCCGTCGCTGGCAACTTCTACCGCGCCCAGTTCGACGACTATGTGCCCCAGCTTTACAAGAGCTTGGGAGCTTGAAAATACGCAAAAACGGCATTTTGACAGTAGAGAAGGACAATGCTATACAATACACAAGAACTGTCTTGACTTTACAATCGGGACAGTTTCATTTACTCAAATATTTTTAGTTCACGTTCCGTTGTATGTTACTTGTTAATAAAATATTTATTGAATAAATTATTCACAATTTATTTTGTATTTAGTCGCATACTGTTACAGCTTCTCAAAAGGCTACGGCTGATCGTAGGCCTCCCCCATAAATTGTCTTATAAGGAGGAATTTGTCATAGTTACCACGCTTAGCAGGCAGGTTGGCAACCCCAGATTTTTTAATTTTTATCTGTTACTAGCTTCCCAGGCAGACGTTGTTCTGCCCTCTCCGACGACCATTTGCTTTCCTAAAAAACTCCTGAAATTAGCAATAAAAAAATTAAGGGTCAGTTATTGGGATAAAAACTATCCTATCTCTCGAGTTGGACCAAACTGTACACAGTGTACAAAATTTCATTGAAATCAGTTCAGTAGTTTAGGAGTTCATCGCGGACAAACAACGTGACACGTAATTTTTATATATAAAGAAGATTAGGAAGCCGCTGCTGCCCATCTCGTTTTCCCTTTAGCGCTACATTACATACGGGACGATTTAAGCCACGTATCGATTACGCACTACAAGAGGTCGAACATTGGCTGACGCTCCAGCCGCGCGAAATGGATACAGCCTTGGAGCGCAACGCCAAATTGTTCGTTGAACCGCTCGAACTTCGAGCGGGCCGCTACATCTGGTATCAGTTTTTTACCGCGCATTAAAATAGTTTAAATTTTGTTTTGTTCAGTTTGGGACATTTGTTTTCATTATTTGTGTGTTCGTTGCGTTCCGAGCTACATATATGGATCACCAAATTGCCGTAAATTAAAACAATTATATAGTTTGTTGTTGAACGGTCAAACACTGGAGCGGCTGCTGCACGCGCCAGGAGCGCTTAGTCGATACACTTCGAACATTATGAGCGCGTTCCGCGGAGCGCACAGGTCGGAGCGGTCATTCATGGCGCGCTCGCCAGGAGCGCGTAGTCGATACGCGGCTATACGGTAACAGTGTTACACTTGACCTTGTAGTGGTGATGTAAATATATTTTTACACCACCACTACACGGTCAAATGTTCGTAGTTGTTGCATAAGTATCGTAGTAACGGACTCATAGGCGGACCGAAACCAAGCAACCTAGTAAAGAAAACTAATATTATGCCATTCTATAATACAAGTAGGTAAAGGATATAATAAATGAAAGACCGTGGCCCCAGGCGGCATGTTGTGGTAAGATAAGTTCCCCGCATTAGGTTTTGAAATGACCCCAGTAAAAATCTGAAATATTCTGAAAAATAGCTCTTATCGAATAATTTACATTGTAAAATTGAAAGTTCTGATTTTTTTTATAAAAATGAAGTGACAAACGAACTTACAGTCACCTGATAACTGCAGTCAATGGAAAACTGCAACCAGTTCTAACAAATAAAGCTACAGATAATTTACTAGACCAACGAAACAGTCAAGCCTATAAAGATCACTCCTGGTCCTCTCTCTTTGTTGAAAAGGGCCTACTCTCCGTCGTCGGTCTGAGGTCATCGTTTTATTTTATAGAAGAGGTGGCAAACAAGCATGTGACTTACCTGATGGTAAGTGACTACCGCCGCCCATGAACAACTGCAACACCAGGGGAATTGCAGGTGCGTTGCCGGCCTTTTAAAAAGGTGTAAGCTCTTTTCTTGAAGGACCCTAAGTCGTATCTGTCCGGAAAAATCCCCGGTGGTAAACAATTCCACAGAGAAGTTGTACGAAGAGGTAAACTCCTATTAAAACACACAGTGGTGGACCGATAAGCATCCAGATGATGTGGATGGTAACATAAGTTTAGTCGCAAAACGAGTTGATGAAATTTGGCGGATGGAATTAATCCGAACAATTCCTCAGAGCACTCCCCGTGGTAGAATCGATAGAAAATTCAAAGTGATGCAAGATCTCTACGCAGCCCCAGTGAATCGAGCAGTTCAGAAAAAAACTCGGTCGTCGACGATTCGAACTGCTCTGCGCTGGATGCGGTCAAGTGGAAGGAGCTGGCACTGGGGTGGCCCGGGCCCAGAGATGAGAGCAGTATTCCATGTGAGGCCGAATTTGCGCTTTGTAAAGTTGCAAGCAATGTGCCGGCATGAAATACTGTCTTGCTCTGCTGAGCACACCAAGCTTTTTAGAGGTCAATTTGGTCTACCCTTCCAAATGACCACGAAACTGCACACTATTCGATATGAGTGGTAACAGTGGTAGAGCCAGGCGGCAGCTTTTGCTGTCGCACGAATGGGCCGGCTCGAACCGGGGTGGTACAACGACAGAATACCAGCGTGAAGTAGAGGTTTACCTCTGCGTTTCGCTTGGTGAGTGCAGGTGGCCGGAGGCCCTTTTTACTGGAAATAAGGCATTCCATCCTAGTCCTCACGGGTGAAAACGCATCTGCATTTTGATTTTTAATAGAGGATAGATGTAGATGTCTATGGGTCGCAGCAACCACTTACCATCAGGTGGACTGTGTGCTCGTTTTTCACCCTTATCCTATAAAAAAAAAATCTCGTCGCCGAGGATTTCGATGCTAGCCGCGGCAGCAAAGGGAGTGCCTTGAAACTGAGGAGATACGACAAAGGGGTTTTTTTTAGCGGTAAACGCGCAAACTTGTGTCTTCTGGGGATTGAACTGGACTAGATTTAGTCGCGTACAATCCAAGACTTTGTTCAGTAAAGACTCGACTTCAGATACAAGTTTGTCCCGGTACTCGGCGATATTTTTCCGAGAAACATTGGCACGGTCGGCATATATGGCATCACCAGTGCTGTCGTCTGCAAAGCAATGAATGTTAACAGTTTGCAACATTCATTGATATGCAGGAAAAACAGCGTTGGTGATAGCACGCAGCCTTGTGGAACACCAGCGTTGATAGGCTTGTAATCAGAGCATGCACTGTCTACTACAACTTTGATGTTCCGATCATCAAGAAAACTGGTGATCCATTTGCACAATTTCTCGGGAAGCCCATAAGAAGGGAGCTTTGAAAAAAGTGCTATGTGCCAGACCCGATCGAGGGCCTTCGCTATGTCCAAACTAACGGCCAATGCCGTCCGACTTGGACTCTACTGCCTCCGCCCATCTATGAGTCAGGTGGACCAGCAGATCACCAGCTGATCGAACCCGACGAAAACCGTATTGGCGGTCACTAATCAGCTGGTGATCCTCATGGCACCTCATGAGCTGGCAGTTTATAATGGATTCCATTATTTTGGAGAACAAGGAGGTGATGGCGATATGCCTGTAGTTGGACGGGTCTAAGCGGTCGCCTTTTTAGGGATCGGGTGGACCAAAGCTGTCTTTCATGGATTCGGTACTACGTCAGGCCCACTCGACTTGCTGATGTCCAGGGAGAGGAGAGCTTTGCGAACTGAGTGCTGTCTAAACCGCACATCCGGCATGTAACACTCACACCGCGGGATGGTCGGCGGAGTGTTTCCCCCGTCATCAAGAGTTGAGTTGGACGCAAAGAGAGAGCCTAACAGCTCGGCTTTCTCCTTTACGGCATGGGTCAGTGAGTCATCCTCACTGTGCAGGGATAGAAGAGATGGCTGATAGAAGTTCCCTTGAACTACCTTGGCGAGAGACCAGAATGCACGGGTTCGCCAAGGAAGGCGAACTAGCATCTCGCCAATTCTGCCGATGTGCTCAGACCTTGCCTTGGCAATGACTCTCTTGAAGGACCTGGAGGCGGAATTATTTCTTTTTAAGAGCGCTGGTGTTTACATCCCGAGACATTGATGCGTCAGCACAGACCCGGTGGCATTCCTGTTTATAGCGTGATACTATTTTACAGGAGCGACCAATGACCAAACCATGGCTGGAATCTGCCTCCAATGGGCACCACAGAGGATGGAATAAAAAGTTCCATACCCTGAAGTACCACATCAGCGACAGAATCAGCAACAAAGCTGGGATCGTCCGGCGAGAAGCAAATCCGCCCCCAAGAGTAGGATACAAAAAACACCGCATCCTCTCCCAATCGGCCGACCTACAGTGCCAAACACAGCGGCAGCCTGCAGAATGCAACCGCGACGTTAGCGTGAGTGGCACCACACTCCGTAACGGGTGGCGTAAATGAGCTAGTTATAAAGCTATCTGTAGGAAGCCATGAGATTTTTTACGACAGTGATAGCTGGGTGATTGATTCTCTTACTCCGCCGCCTATAGTTACTGTGTTATAGTCTTCCTCATCGATGTCGATGACGACGTCCCTAGAAATATTTGTTCTATCATGAGCTTATGGCTTGCAGAATGCAGGCCGAACTTGGTTTTAAAGACTCTTTGGCATGTGTGACAGAAGAGTTGACCAGCCGAGTACCTACGTGTATGGGTAGGACTAGCGAAGATCTTTGTTTTTGCGCATTTGGCGTTTTTGGTTTAGAGGCCACTTTTGTTTAATGATTTGATGCTTTTAAATATGGAAGATCGCCAGGATGCACTATTTGCAGCAAGTTTTTCCCAACACGCTAGGCCAAAAGTAAAAGCGTTCAGGTGTCTTTTGAACACACTTTATCAGCCGCCTTGAAAACAAGGAAGAGGTTCGCAATTAGACTCCATGTTTTTTTGTAAGCATGTTACGCAATATCTTAGTTAATTATGAACCAATTTTGAAGAGCCTTTTTTATAAAATAGGTTATACTTCTAAACTGAACTGAGCTGAAGTAGCATTAAAAAGCTTTCATGACATACATAGTGGAGCGACACAGAACCTCAATTCAGAATTCGGAGTTTTGAATACAGTACTATTTAGCTGATCACGGGGATAGTTGCGGATATATTCATATTTCCATGGGTTTTTTATCGTCTGGAAAATAATATGGTGTATTGTGGCCCTTTAACAAAGGCTATCCTCCATAGCTTTTGCTTAGTACTATTGATAAGGATTAAGTACTACTACACGCTACAGC